AGATGAGAGACATGAGACCGAACAATGCAGAAGAGCTGAAGGCTGCTATTGAAGCATCCTGGTCTTCCCTACACCTTAGCAATGCCACAAGCTGATAGCTTCAATGCCACGCCGCATTGAGGCAGTAATTGCTGCAAAAGGGGCCCAAACCAAGTACTGAGTACATATGCATGCTTATACTTTTCAGAGGTCCGATATTGTTCTATGCGCAATCCTTGTTTTATTGGTTGCATGTAATATTCTAATTTTCTCAGATTGTGGATTTTGGGTTTTTATGAGCTGTAAGCCATAATTATCACAATTATGACAAATCACGGCTTGAACTATCTTGCTTTGCATGTAATGAGTCTATCTCATATATTAGTTTCATCTTTTAACTTGCATTACTGAAATAAATGAACTTTTGCATGATATTCTATTTTTTTGAGTTTCATCTGTATATACATAATGAAGTCATACATAAATGGGACATAAAAATATGTATATTTTTCCAAGTTGTATATGTTGCTTTCTCTTTTATGTCCTAGTTATTATGTTCTTTATGCTTGTACTTTAAACACACATCTTGTGAATAGGTAATATCTCTTTTGTTCATTTATTTTATACATTAGATAGCACATTTTATTTATTTTGCTTTTTATTCCACTACAGAAAACAGATGTAAATACTCAATCCTAAAATACATTAGAAGTAGAACAAATATATTTTAACATTATATGTTAAATTTGTAACTTTACAAGTGACAGTCTTCAATAAACAAATGTATTTATTTATTGTGGGACACGGTGGCTCAGTGGCTAAGATGCTGAGCTTGTCAATCAGAAAAGATCGGCAGTTTGGTGGTTCGAAACCCTGGCGCCGCATAATGGAGTCAGCTCCCATTACTTGTCCCAGCTTCTGCCAACCTAGCAGTTCGAAAGCACGTAAAAATGCAAATTACCTTTGGTGGGAAAGTAACAGCATTCTGTGCACCTTCAGCGTTTAGTCATGCTGGCCACATGACTTCTTTGACTTCTTTGGACAGTGCTGCTGGCTCTTTGGCTTTGAAACTCCACCTCCTAGAGTCTGGAACAACTAGCATATATGTTTGAGGGGAACCTTTACATTTTATTTGTTTATTGATTAATAAATACATATTGTTGCATATTTAATATATTTGTTTATTAATCAATAAACAAATATATTAAATATGCAATAATATGTATTTTTAATCTAAAATAAGGATAGCAAAATATAGCATTTGTAACAATTATTGTGCACAGTAAACTGGATGAGGACTTACTCAAAACTTTTCTGCATCTGTCTTTGTGCATCGAATCATGATAAAGTGAAATGTATTCACTTTAAATGTGATGTTAATCCTGTGTTTGGTACACATCATATGAGATTTTCTTTTTGCTAAACTCTGGTGTTCAATATGGGATCACAATAACTGTAACTTGCTTTTGGATTTTGTTTATTGTTCTCTCAAATATGCTCAACAATTAGCATGAACTTTTGAATAAACTATTTCTTGGTATTGTCCTGCATAGTTTGGGAATAAAGCATAGTGTTGGAGGCCCCAGGAAATGATGATAAATAAAATCCAGTTTTGGTCACCACATTGTAAAAAAGATGTCGAGACTTTGGAAAACATGTGAAGAAGAGCAACTAATGTGATTAAGAGAGAAAAAACATATGAATAATGGTTGCAGGACTAGGGTATGGCTTGTCTAGGAAAAAGAAGGACTATAGGTGACATGATAGCAGTATTTCAGTATTTGAGGGCTGCCACAAAGATGAGGGGGTCAAACCATAAGGCAAGGCAAGAAATAATGGATGGAAACTAATCAAGGAGAGAAGCAACATGGAATTAAGGAGACACTTTCAAACAGAACAATTAACCAGTGGAACAGCTTGCCTTCAGAAGTTGTAGATACTTCATCACTGGAGATCTTTAAAAAGAAACTGGACAGCCACTTGTCTGAAATCAGGGGGTTGGATTAAAAGACCTTCCAGCTTTATTCTGATTGATCGGTCAATTGATTGGTTGATAATAAACATGTCAGCTAATGCTTAAACATCAGTCTTGAATATTCAAAATACATTTTCCTATGAAGCGTCTTCCTGCTTTTCCTAATAATCAAATTAGTAAATGTAGTTGATCTTTGGCAGTTTCATTTTCTAAAGGTAGGTTGCTTGATATAATTGACATGGAAACACACCATTACGCCCCCAAAAATAAACTAGGCACTTTTAGCACATAGCATATTTGGAGAATGTATCATATATGCTATTGCTTGAAAGTCAAAAATTAAACTGTAAAACCATGACTGACAGTTTACATATAATAATATATTTGTGAATTTGCATGAAGAATTATAAACATTTGTTGTTGTTAGTCACAAAGTTGTATCCAACCCATCGCAACCCCATGGAGAATGTTCCTCCAGGCCTTCCTATCCTCTACCATCCCCCTGAGTCCATTTAGGCTCATGCCAACTGCTTCAGTGACTCCATCCAGCCACCTCATTCTCTGCCGTTCCCTTCTTCTTTTGCCCTCAATCGTTCCCAGCATTATGCTCTTCTCCAGTGAGTCCTTCCTTTTCATTAGGTAGCCAAAGTATTAGAGTTTCATCTTCAGGATCTGGCCTTCTAAAGAGCAGTTAGGGTTGATGATCTCTAGGACTGACCGGTTTGATCACCTTGCAGTCCAAGGGACTCTCAGGTGTCTTCTCCAGCACCATAATTCAAAGGCCTCAATTCTTTGGCACTCAGTATTTCTTATGGTTCAACTTTCACATTGCAACTGGGAAAACCATAGTCTTGACTATACACACTTTTGTTGGCAGGGTGATGTCTTTGCTTTTTAGCTGTCTAGATTTGCCATAGCTTTCCTCCCCAGGAGCAAGCGTCTTTTAATTTCTTGGCTATAGTCCCCATCTGCGGTGATCTTGGAGCCCAGGAAAATGAAGTCTGTCACTACTTCCATTTCTTCCCCATCTATTTCCCAGGAATTGAGAGGTTCAGATGCCATGATCCTAGTTTTCTTTATATTGAGTTTCAAGCCAACTTTTTCACTCTTCTTCTTCACTCGCATCAAGAGGCTCAGGTTTCTCTTCACTTTCTGCCATTAGAGTGGTATCATATGCATATCTGAAGTTGATATTTCTCCCAGCAATCTTAATTCCAATTTTTGATTCATCTAGCCCTGTCTTTCTCATGATGTGCTCTGCATATAAGTTAAATAGGGAGGGCGACAATATACAGCCTTGCTGAACTCCTTTCTAAATTTTGAACCAATCAGTGGTTACATGTCCAGTTCTCACCGCTGCTTCTTGACCCGCATATAGGTTTCTCAAGAAACAAATAAGATAGTCTGGTAATCCCATCTCTTTAAGAACTTGCCACAATTTGTCATGATCCACACAATCAAAGGTTTAGCATAGTCAATGAAGCAGAAGTAGATGTTTTTCTGGAACTCCCTAGCTTTCTCCATGATCCAGTGTATGTTGGGAAACTCTAGTTCCTCTGCCTCTTCAAAATGCTGCCTGTACTTCTGGTATTATAAACATATACACTTTAAATTTGTATGCTAGGTTTATACATTATACTAGACCATAAAACATTTTGTCTTAGCATATAAGCACAGTTATTGTTGTTTGTAAAGAGTGTTTTATAGCTTGGTGAAATATGTTAGCCTACCTCTTAATGTACATTTTCAAGTTATGATAACATTATCCCCTAGACATATAGTAAAATATCTGTTTTGAATTTGTTATACTTATCTTATATGTCAGATGTCATTTGATTGCAGTAGAAAGTTTCATTGAATAAATGGATGGATGGATGGATGGATGGATGGATGGATGGATGGATGGATATTCTTTCTGTTCTCAAACAATATTGTCACTTTTGTCAATTTAGAACTAACAAATCAAACTATACAACAGCTAAACATTGGTGATGATATAGAAATATTTAGTGAATGTGCAGAGAATTCTAGATTTTAATCTTTAAACAGCCAATAGTAAACTATATAGTGTGATTCTTGTTTAAACGTTTGATTGTTTACTGATTCATCCTAATAGCCTTCACACAGTTTACTTTCCATTATGGACTATTTAGTGTTGAGACACTTATCTTTTTCCCTCCATGCATTTTTATTCTGTTATGTATGTGCAACATAGTGATAAGTACTCTTTGATTTGTAGATAATTGCAGCAACTGTTTACATTATTTATGAGTGTCTTAGAATCCATTTACAATCCTGACTCAGATAAAGCTGATTGCAAGAACTGATAAGACCACAACAATAAAGTAATTAACTGGCTCAGTTAAAAGCTGCCTGGTCTGGGGCATTAACTCTGTTTGCATTTCATGAACCATGCATTCAGTTTTCTGTATTTTTTGAATCTGCTCACTTCAATAATATTGTTAGATATACATATATCTACAATTGACACAGAAAGGTATATAAGAGCAACATTAGATTGCTTGTGGGAAGTAATTTTTTTTGAAAAAAATGATTAGTATTATTTTACTGTTTTATTCTCTATTTTTCTTTTTAAATTATGTCAAGTAACTTTTTAACATTTAAAATAAAATATGTAATATAATGGTAGTGATGTGGTTAAGGAAATTTTTGTTGCCCCTAGATTTGCAGTAGCTTATGGTGGACACTGATTATATTCCTTTTTTTACAATATTTTACCAATGAGGTTGAGGGACAGGACGGCTGCATGTTCTCAGTCCTTCTAGATTTGTAGTGATATATAGGAATACTTTGTAGGGATTGAAGAATGGAAGTAGTAATGATGTAAAATAAAAAAAATGAAAAGGTTCATCACATAATGGCAGAATTAAAGGACATATTAACTATAGCCATGCGGATTTTAGCAACAAAATTTTAAATATTACTGTACTGGAAAAACATATATAGTTAATGTGATCTTAATTTAATTACTCTGTTACTAAGAAAATAAAAAGATTCTTATGTTTTGTTTTTCTTCCCTTATTAGGCCAGAATTTTACCCTAAGACAGTTAGGAGTTTGTGAACCAGCGACTCGAAGAGGACTGGCATTTTGTGCTGAAATGGGGCTTCCCCACAGAGGTTACTCTATCAGTGCAGGGTCAGATGCTGACACTGAAAATGAAGGAGTGATGTCTCCAGAGCATGCCATGAGACTATGGGGCAGGGGGGTCAAATCAGGCCGCAGCTCCTGTCTCTCAAGTCGTTCCAACTCAGCTCTTACTTTAACTGATACAGAGCATGAAAACAAGTCTGACAGTGAGACTGGTAAGTTTTTCTTTATATCTAAAGTTAAAAATCTATTCTAAAACTTTATGTATGAAATATTTTTTTATTATAATTTAAACAAACATTTAAACAAAACATGTGGAAATAGAATTCTTTTGTAAATTTTACTCAGTTAATTGTTAAAATAACAAGATTATTCTGGATTATGTAAAACACAATCTGCAGGTGCCATAAGAACACTGAAGTATTATCTCTAATTGCTTTTTCATCCACATGGCTTCATAATTTTGTGGTAGTATATATGCTTTGGTTGAAGAAAGTCCTATATAGATAATAATAGATATATCTGTCAAATGCCTGACAGCATAAAACAGTTTCATAAGAAATATAAATTAGAAGAGTTTGAACAAAAGAAGTTTCCTGATGAACCCACACCTTATTTTTGATGTTTTTGAATTATGTTCATAAAATATAGACTTTTATAACAATTCATATTTTTAGCATTGTATAGTAATTTAGGTCATACATAATCCTGTATATTTGAAAGATACATGGCCTGCAGAAATAAAGGTAGAGCTTTTCATGGCTAAGCATGCACTTGACCCTGGGTTCCCTTGGTCTGAATTTTAACACATTAACCACTATATCACAATTGCTCTTGCTTGTCTTCTTGTTTTAGTAGTGTCAGTCTTAATAAGTTTGGGTAACTCAGTATTGAAAATACATTTGTTTAGATCTAGACAAGCAATATACTTTTACAATTGTTTTCCACAATTGATATTAAAAGGTTTGTGACATAAATATAAATATTGAATCTGACATTTAACAAAGTTCTAGAATCTCTATAACATCAGAACAAGGTTCTAATTGTATTGTATAAATTGTGCAAGAATTAGTAATGGAAATTACTTGTTTCTAGAATCTCAATTTGTGGAGTCAATGATCCTGTTCTAAAGGTAATTTCCACTGTCAATAGGTAGTGCAAACTTAAAATTTTATTTATATGAACAACTTCTCTGAGTGAGATTTAGGATGAATGTTGTTTGTGAATCTGAAATCTACTAGTTTTGTATAATACAACTTGGTGCAGTTCTACTTTCTATTGGTGTTTTTCTTTTTTAAATTGCTTTTTAATTAATAACAGAAAAAAGAACAAAAGCCAAAGTTAATAATGATGGGGATACATACATGACAAAGAGAAGATAAATAAACATAATTGCATTAAGAAAAAATGGAAAAAATAACAAAGAAAGCCAACCCATAGTGTGATATATTATTACATCAGTAATAATTCTATATATAATCCACATATTATTCAAATATATATATATATTTCTAAGAAATCTGTACCACTATCACTTTTAAATCCACTGTATTCTATATAAATGAGTCCAATATTTCATTATAGACGTCTATACAAAGTCTGTGTCAAGTGCAGTAAATCTAGGCAGTTCAAATGAATATGGGTTTATTGTATGCTAATGCTCTCTACAAGAATCTGAACTAATAACAGTCAAAGCAATTGGCAGTAGATAAGAATCAACAGCATTCAAGGTGGGTTGGACTTAGATCCCTTATGAGTGTGAAGAGACTCAAGACTGATGATGTGTTTGACACCCTCCCTTCCCCTGGCTCAGCCTGGTCATCTCCTACAGTCTACATCTATAGGCAATTCACTTGTAAGGACAAGTGCAATTAAGTCTTCAATCTACTGAATAAATGGAGCCATACATTTATCTTTCCAATGCTGCAATATCAATCTTTAATTCACTTACATTGTTCCACTCATTTCTTCATATTTGCATAACAAATTGATTTGTTGATAACAAATATCTATACAAAATCATTTTTAGTTTTAAAGATTTAACATGTTGTAGCTCTTATGTGTCAGAAGCTGAAATGCTGCTGGTCTAAATAATATTGTTAATAAATATATTAGTAAATAGTGTCATAGAGATTCTATAATTTTAGTATATTTTGATTCTAATACCGGGAATCCAACCATGTTTATCCCAAAGTTGCCCAATTTGGAAAATTAACATCAATTTTCATTTTATAATTATTCTAATTTGCTGTGGCTTGAGGAAAATCATCCAAATATGTCCAGAAAGCCTTTTTCAGTAAAAATGATTAAGAAAGAAAGTAGACAAATCCAGCTTTATGAAAAGCTCCAACTGCAGCTTGGCAAAGCCGTGTCTCACAATTCCCCTTGCTCTAGAACCTGGTGGGAATTGGTACTTTATGATCCCATCTCAGAGAGTGTTTGTAAGGAGCCTGTGGGCGATCCCAAGTCCCCTCTTTCTTTAGAAAGGGTTTCAGGGAGCTGCTTCAGTGGATCCACTTTCCACTGTGATTATAAGCTCTTCTAAGTGAAGCTGTATTCATTCACCAATATCCTCCAAAAATAATTTTTATTTGGAAATAAGCAATAAAAACATGACTCGATTGTTGATTTTGGAAAGCTTTCACTGATTTTTGGGAAACAAAAAGTTCAAGAATATTTCCTGTTGTTTGTTTAAAATCCTATGAAAAATATATGAAGATCTGAGTTTAAGTGTAAGAAATCTCTTCCTGAGAAATGTTCTGGATGGAAGAAAAACATGATAGATGAGACTAGATGAAGGCTGGTTATTAGAGGCAACCAGAAAAAAATTACAGGTTATAATTAAAGGACAATTCCCACTAGTACAGAATGGAGAAAAAAATTAACTCTGGAACAATTTAAGAATATTGGCAACAACGTATCCACTACTTACTCTTTAGACTGTCTCATAAAATAGAAATGGGTTTAAAAGAAGAGATAAAAGAGGATATTGCTGAAAATTAGATTGTCTTGGATATAGATTTAGAACTAACAGAAAAATAATACTGAAAAATATGCTATACAAGACCAACAAATGACATTAGCTATGATTTCAATAGTTAAAAGGGACAAGCAAATAATAAACTAGAAGACTGATTTGAATATGTGGATGTTAACTCACTTGGACAATTTTATTACTTTAGATCTACAAAGGATATGTGTTATATCTATGAAGGAATTACTGAAAAAAGTAAGAGAAAAGAAATGAGCTTGGAGGACATTGCCTAAAAGTAGTCATCACTCTTAAAACTCAAATTAAGGTTTATAAAGTGGATCTATTTAATCAAGGTTCAAATTTATTTTTTCAACTGTAATTAATGAGTTTTCCTTGAGTAAGATTGAATGATGAGGCTTTAAAGATTTGATTATAGAGAAGAGAAGAAAACAGCTTTGTTTTATTTTTAAAGAAATTGATAAACTATTATATCATTGATAGAAGATGAAGAGAAATTTGTGGGATATCTTTTGAAGGATTAAATATTAATATATTTTAATTGCTGTTTTTTATAGCTCAGTGGAATTTTTCTTGATAAAGTGAATGATTAAGTTTTAAGGTCTATTTATAGATACAAGACATGGAAAGAGATTGCAGTTTTAGACAAAATAACAATTGCATAAAGAAAAGAATTATTAAATTCATAAACAAACAATGTAATACTTAAAGGACTTTTACTGATAAGATTGAAAATTGAGGTTTTTATTTCCCAAAAGATAGAAGATCACAAGATTTTTTAAAAGAGTGATTCATTCTATCATTTTTTTTAAAAAACAATTATTTAAAAAAAACAAATTATTTACACTATTGTGCTGATAAACATTGTGACAATAGTTGCCCTGCTGTGTTCTTTAATGAATTATGTCTTATGCATTGAAGTTAAACAAAATTACAAAATGGACAGATTTTAGATATTACTTTACAGAAAACAGGTACAGTGGCACTTCTGTACTCATTGTTAGGAGGCATGATGAGTACCAAAAATGATGAGTACCAACAATTTTTCCCCAAAAGGAATATTGTAGTGAGTCAGAAGGCAGACAGCACCGATAAGTTCTAGCTTATAAGTTGAGTACCAACAAACAATGAGCATCAGGACAAACATTTGTATCAAAATGGGTTGAGTACCAAATATGATGAGTTTCAAAGTGGTTGATAACCAATGTACCACTCTATATGTAAATGTTATAGGTTCAGTTAGTTATCTGTGCTGGTCTAAGTATATACTTGTCTTACAAGTATATATCCATAATGTATGAAATTTAGCTCTTATTTCTGTAATTCCATCCATCACCTTGTACACTTTCAAACACAAGTTTTAAAGTTTAAAAAAGTTACATATTTGGCAGTTGTCTGTCCTTGCAGAATGCCTATGTCACATGTCACATAGTAGATGCAGACCATCTAATTTATTGCAATGGGAAAAATGTTGCCTAAATCAATATCTTATGCCTGCTTAGATTATTAGAGATTTGTTAGTAAAAGGTGTATTAATTCCTAGGTTTGAAAGAGGTTTAAATCAACCATGTCATCTATGTTGTAACATTTTCAATGCAGCTTTTATGCATTATTTAAAATAAGATTCTATGTGTAACCATAAAGCTAGCTTAAATGAATCTATTATTTATGATAGCTTTTGTAATAGCAGTTCTGTTTCTGGTATGAATATTACTTGCCTTTCACTTGTGGAGATAGGTGTCCATATCAATTGAATGAATTAATAAATAAATAAAGATTTTTAATGTTGTACTATGGGATGACAAAATGCGGAAGACATTCTTCTGTTATTTACTGATTTAAAATTAAACTGATGAATTGGGGAAAATGCACAAATGACACTAATGGACCTGTTTAAAAAATAATAATAGCAAAAATAAGATTGAAAAACTATGTTGCATATTTTATGCAAAATATTTATATTGGGGGAAAAATACCCCTTCTGGCTAATTTAGCTTTCTTTCACTTTTTTCTTTTTGATAGTGTACAATATATTGCTACTCAGTTTCATTAAAAAGTATTTTGGATGTAGACTTGACCAAAGAATTTTAACACAATTCCTCATTACTTTCTAAATTTAAAAGTTTAATTTTTGATACTGCAGTAAAATAAAATTGTACTACACACCTTTAGAACATATGATGGTGTTTTGCTTTTATTTTTATTTTTTTGATGTCCTTTAAA